AGGATCATACTTCTTATGTGTTAGACCGATCAGCTCATCGTAGACGTTGCACACCTAAGTACATCGGGGCTCTGTTTGTGGAACGAGTTGGCATAATCGATGGAATTGTGCCAAAGCATATCAGAGATTCTATGAAGGTGATGTTTGGTCTAAACCTCAGTTACACCACATCTTATAGAGCTTTGATATATGCCTAACAATTGGTGAGAGGAACAGCAGAAGATGGATATGAGAAGCTGCCTTCTTATTTGCGTCAAATTGAGAGAGCTAATCCGGGAAGTGTCACAGACCTTGTATGCGATGAGATGGATCGATTTAAGTACCTGTTTATTTCATTTGGAGCTTCCATAGCTGGTTTTCAGTACTTGAGGCGAGTGATTGTTGTAGATGGGACTCATCTAACTGGGAAGTATGGAGGTGTTTTGCTAGTTGCAGTCGCACAGGATGGTAACTTTCAGATATTTCCTTTGGCATTTGCAGTTGTGGATTCTGAGTGTAATGATTCATGGATTGGTTTTTCACCAAATTGAGTACATGTTTCTCAGATGGGTATCCGCTTGTCCTAGTTTCTGACCGGCACGACTCCATCGCTGATGCATGTAAGAATGTCATACCATGGGCAACACGGGGTATATGTTACTCTCGAGAAGTCTACTTAACCCTAAACCCTAAATCAAATTTTTTGATTAAAACTTATATGAAAACATTAATTTACTTACCATATTGACAACTCATAGTTAAAATAACAAATATATGAACCATGATTCATTAACTGAACTATAAACTATGATTCATATAGAAATTGTGCAAACCCTAAGAATTACACTCTTATACCCTAACCCTAAACCTCAACTCTAACCCTTTTGTATTGTATACTTATGAAACTTATGAATTGATTCATTTTCATGATTTTTTTATATAGATGCTAAATATATGTGTTTTAGTTGTGTATATAATGTTTTTACCAAATTATTTTTCATAATTTTATTAATTAATGGTAAAGAAATTATTAGAGATTAGACTTCTCCAAGAAGTCTACTCTAGAGAAGTCTACTTGAGAACCCGAGAAGTCTACTTAGTATTGATTTCTAACCTAATTTATCTACGATGATTTATATTTATTATTTTGAATCAAATTTTATTTTTAATATGTGTAAAAAGTATATGTTTTTGTTATGTTGATAATTTTTTTACCAAAATATTTTTCATGATTTTTTTAATTAATGGTAAAGAAATTATTAGAGAATAGACTTCTTGGAGAAGTCTACCCCTGAGAAGTCTACTCGAAAACCCGAGAAGTCTACTTAATATTCATTTCTAATCTAATTTATCTATGATGATTTAAACTGATTATTTTGTGTCAAATTTTATTTTTAATAGGTGTAAAAAATATATATTTATGTTATGTATCTAATCTTTTTATCAAATTATTTTTCATGATTTTTAAAATTAATTGTAAACAAATTATTATAGATTAGACTTCTCCAGGAACACCTTATCCTACCATTCAACATCATAATTTTATTTTATTTTTGGTTTTTCTAATTAATAACAAAAAATAATTACTATTTATAATTATAAATTAAATAATTTGTAATAACAATATTTTTGTAAAATATTTTTTTTTCAAATGGTAAAAATAAAAATAATTATTATTACAATATAATACAACTCTTAATCTTACATAAAACTTAAAATACAATACTTTAAATAAACACACAACATAAAAAATACTTTTAAATCACACATAGAAAATTAAAAATCAAACATAGAAACTCAACTCACAAACAATATAACTCTAAATCATACATAAACACTTAAAATGTATTTAATCACGGAACATTCCAAACTTTGCCCATATGTGTTTAACTAGATCTTCTTGCAATTCATGATGTACATTTGAATCACGCAACTCAGATCTAGCACGCACATGATTTGCAAATGCAGGTAGCACTTCAGTCGAGAATGATTGCGGTATATTAGACCCACTTGCCTCAGATTGATCATAGTCAGTCGAATGTTGGGCATATGTATCTCGTTCATCCTCAACAATCGTATTATGCAATATGATACATGATCTCATGATGATAGCCAAATCAGCTATGTCCCACATGCGAGCTGGTTCGCGAATGATTTTGAATCGAGCTTGCAACACTCCAAATGCACGTTCGATGTCCTTCTGGCATCCCTCCAGATGTTGTGCGAATAACTTATCTGGTTCACTTTGAGGAATTCTAATTGATTTGACAAAAGTAGGATAAGAAGGATAGATAACGTCAGCTAGATAGTACGCCATGTTATACGGACGTTGGTTCACAAAAAAGTTCACCCTTGGAGTATTTCCCTGTTCAACATCATCGAACACTGGTGAACGGTCTAGAACGTTTATATCGTTTAATGTACCCGGACATCCAAAAAAGGCATGCCAGATCCATAGGTCATGAGATGCAACAGCTTCAAGAATAACAGACAGTAGTGGTTCTTTTATCTCCCCGAGTAAATTGACCTTCCCACGCGGTAGGACAATTTTTCTATTCCCAATGCATGCAATCAATACTCCCAATCATCCCGGGGAACCCTCGTGCTTCACTAATTTGTAGTATTCTTTGCAAGTCAACTTGAGTTGGGGCTCTGAGATACTCTTGCTCATACAATTATATGATTCCTTTACAGAATCTACGCAAGCACTCCAATGCTGTAGTACCTCCTATCTTGATATATTCATCGACCGCGTCAGCCGCCACACCATATGCTAACATTCGCATGGCCGTGGTACATTTTGCTAGTGGAGATATACCTTCTTTATTAGCTGCGTCAACTCTTTGGTTGAAGTAGTTGTCAGTGCTTGATAGGTCCCCAACAATCCGCAGGAAAACATGTTTGCGCATCCGGAATCTTCGACGAAACATTGCATCATCATATGTAGGTTGATTGGCAAAGTAGTCGTCGAACAGCCTTTGGTTTGCTGCTACATGATCTCTCTTGTAATATTTTCTCTTGCTACGAGCCGTATATGCTTCCTCTATTTTCTTCCGACGCTCTCTAAACCGGTTGACGATATACTTTTCTTCCATTTCACTCTGGTTTTTGTAAGCTTCAATATCAAAAGGAAATTCTGATGAATCCATTGATAATTTTTTTTGTAATATGAGATTTATGGTAGTGATACATCAATAGAAGAATGAGTGTTTATTTATAAGAAATTGAGTGGTTGAAACCAACAGACTCCAAACATATAATACAATGCCATAAATTAATAGATAAGAATTGGATTATTTTAGTAAAAGCTAAAAGTCACGGATTCTTGACATACATTATTAAAGCAGAAAAGCACAAAACAAATAAAGACACTCGACACACATTATTAAAGTAGAAAGCGATAAAATACAGATAGACACTTGACAAACATTATTGCATAAACTGACAAAATACAAACAGACACTTGATAATAATTAATTTCCAAATAGATCGTGGTTCAACTTCTCCAACAGTTGTTTGTTCTTGTCATTGAGATGCTCCTTTTCACTTAACTTCATAAACATCTTCATCTTCTTAGCATACATCTTTTCTTTCATTAATTTGTTTTCCTCATCCTGCACCATGGCTATTTTGTCCAATCGTTCTAACTCTTGCTCTTTGAATTATTTGAATTCATTCCAATCTTTATTGACCACTTCCAAGGCAGCGTTCTTGCCTTTCTTTCTACCCTTTTTTTAGCTGCATCCCTCCCCATTGGACGAGCACTAGATCCTACAGAGTTGGAGTCACTTACATCACTTTCGCGGGATCTCTTAGATCCACTACTTCCAGAGCCAGTATTTCCTCCAACCTGACTACCATAACGTGGTTGATCTCGGACAGCGAGCCATTCTGATATTAAATTGAAATGGTCATTCTTACCACTTGAATATAGTTCATGTGCTTTGGATAATACATCATTCTCCAACCACCCGCTTTGTTCCATACGTCTAGCGTTATCGTAAGCGCCAATCCATTTGCCCAACTTTTTGTTTATATAGTTGTAATGATTTCTGCATGAAGCTCCATCACGTGGAGGATCAAATGAGCATTGCTCATTACAATACTTAGCAATTTTACCCGAATATGCTTCACTTTTTTGGTTTCTGCCAACAACACTGTCCGTTCCAAATTTAATCCACCCACTAAGTAGCACCAAATTTTGATCAGTGGTCCATTTGGGGCTTTTTCGGCGAGGAGGAGCTGGATCTTCTGCATTTGGAGTGGCTTCATTATCACCACTCATGCCACCAAGAGCGAGTTGTGTAGAAAATTCGGGAAATTCAATTGTTCCAACATTCGGAACATTTTCATTACCCGTTGGAATAACAGAAAAATGGGGTGTTTGAGATGAATATGGCATCATTGAACCATAATATGGAGGATAATTTGGAACATATGATGACATGAAGAAATTTGGTGCAAAACCATAATTTGGTATATTTTGAGGTTGGTTGGAAGATTGATTTTGAAACTGATAATTGTTTGGATTTGGAAAATTAAAAGGAAAATTAGTAGAATTTTGAGTGTTAAAAGGATTTTTATTAGGATCCATTTAACCAAAAAAAGTTTAAAGATACAGAAAAATGATAATAGACGAAAGGAAAGATAATAGTGAAAAATGATGATTTTTTTTTATGTCCAAATACAATGAGAGTAGTCTCTATTTATAGATCTTAAAATTTGCTTAATTTTGGTAAAAAAATTATTTTATAAAAAATTGTTTATTAAAAGATAATGGAGTTCAAAAATTTTAGAGGTGATAAAAATTATGGAAATTTCTCTAACTAATCAAATTTTACCACATTTTTTTTTCAGAAATAAAGAATTTTTGTCTCGTGTAGCACACGCTCACCAACTTTCCTCTTTGTTATATTTTGACATTTGACTTTATAGGTCCAACATTTTTTTAATTCAATCGGTTGAATACTTTCAACATAAAATAATACACCTGTATTTTTCAAAAATTCAACAGCCTTATTGAAAGTGTTAAACTGTTGAATTAATTTTTCAAACAGACTCATTGTACATAGCTTAATAACAATCACAACCTACAAAAAAACTGTACAACTAAAACATAATTGTAATGCAAAAACTATCCAAAATAATATTAGAATACTCAAAAGGATCATTAATAGTAATACCAACAAAAATAATAAAAATTCTATTCAAACAGGAGTGGTAATAACACCAGGAGAAGGAGATCGAGGCTCAACTTTCCTAAGCTGAATGGCTTTGTGAGATTCATCATCATCAAAGTACATATAAGCAAAACCACCGTGCCGGGTCATATCCATACCGGCCATCTCATCCTCTGCCGATATCCGCAACAGTTTCATTTTCTTGAGGATGAAGAAAAGCGTTCCCATAGTTGCACTCACCCAACCTGCGATCACAAGTATTTGAATCAGCTGAGCTCCCAGAAGTTTTCCTCCACCGCCCATGAACAAACCGTGTGGCCTTCCTCCCAGCTTCTCACCGTAAATCTGGTTCAAGTACTTTTCCTTAGCGAAAAGCGCTGTAAATATTAGTCCCCATGCTCCACACCCTCCGTGTAACTGCGCTGCCTCAAGCGGGTCGTCGTATCTGAGCTTCTCCGCAAGCTTGTTGCACCCAAGGAGGACGAGGGCTGCCACAAATCCACAAATAATCGCTGCCCACGGCTCTACGACGGAGCAGCCTCCTGTGATGGCTGCAAACCCTCCCAGAAGGCCATTGCATACGTCCGTAACATTCCAGTGTCCCGAAAGAAGACGTTTACCAAAGAGGGTTGTTAGCGCTGCAGTGCAGCCGGCTAGGGTGGTAGTGACGGCCGTCCGTCCCACCGCGCTCCACTGTCCGTTGATCGAGCCTGATTCGTAAGCCACAAGGATCTTGTTGAACGAACCAGGGTTGAATCCATACCACCCAAACCAGAGGAGGAATGTTCCAAGGACAACAAGTGACGCCGAGTGGCCTCTTAGAGCGATGGCTCTACCACCGTTATCAAAACGGCCGAGTCGGGGACCTTCGATCAAAGCACCCCAGAGACCAGCGATGCCTCCGACCATATGGACGACACCAGATCCAGCAAAATCGATCGCTCCGGTACTGAAAAGCAAATCACCGTCGGTACGAAATGGACTGGCCCAACCGTCAGGGGACCAGAACCAGTGAGAGACGACTGGGTAGACAAATCCGGTTAAGAAAGACGAGTAGATCAGGTAAGCAACGAACTGAGTCCGTTCAGCGATGGAGCCGCTGGTGATTCCGGCAGCGGCTATAGCAAAGGCCCATTGGTAGAGGAAAAAGGAGTAATCATTGGTCGCCGTTGGAAAGTCTTTGAGACCGAAGTTTTGTTTACCGATGAAACCGTTTGAGGGAGATCCAAAAGCAAAGGCGTAACCGAATAGATAATAGAAGAGACCTCCGGCTGCGGCATCAAGAACGTTGGTGAGCATGATGTTCATCGTGTTCTTAGCTCTGACCGATCCGGCACAGAGCATAGCGAAGCCGAGCTGCATAGAGAAGACGAGGTAAGCGGAGAAGAGAAGGTATGTGTTGTCTACCGCGAAAGCAACGTCGGTGAATTTGTTGTTCACGGTGCCGATTTGGCCGCAGATGTAGTTAGCCGCCGCCGTGGCATTAGGGCCTAACAGGACTGCGAGATCGGTGGCAGAGCAATTTAAAACTCCCGACATGTTTGAGAGAGAATGGTGGGAGAGATCAGAGAAAGTAGCAGAGGAAAAAAGTGTTTTCGTCTCTGTTTATATAAAAGAAAAACTAAGGAAGGCTTTAGAATTTGACTTTTCAGATTATACAGCTTGACGAAATTTTTTGCAAGTTGCAAAGTCTTCAACTTTTGTTTGCTAGTGCATGTGAATCAAATAATATATATATGAAAAAAAAAGGAATCTGAATTTTGATCTAATAGATCGGTGTAGATAAGATCTGGGTGTTCAGAAAAAATATTCTATCGCTTCCAACTAAAGGCTCATGAAAATTTCTCAATATTTGCAAATCAGTATTGTTGGGATTTTCTCATCTTTTTCTTTCGAAGCTGAAATGTCTTATTGTTTTTGGTCAAAAGTCATTGAAATTTTATATGAACATAGACAATTCTATTTTGACTTTGTTTTTATTTTCGTACGTTTTAAATTCAAGTATATCAATTTGATATTATACGCGGGTTCTCCCCTAATTATAGAATCAATACGAAATACAAAGTTAATATATAAAGAAAAGTTGACTGACTGCAACATGTCTAGTTTATTAAGCAAATGTTGACCAAAGAATCTGCATCTTTGGTTTTCAGACTTTCCAATGTAAAATGTATAAATAATTGTGCATACTGGGACCTACTGGTATATTCTTTTTGATACCTTCGAGTTTTTAGTTCACACGAGACATGCGGCAAACTTAATTGATGATGGGCTTCTCGCTAAAGGTTTAAAAGCATCCACACTTAAATAATACTCCTTTAGAATTCGAAAAACACTTCTCAAATATATAAAACTTGGTAATAACCTAATACGGAGTAAAATAATTACTCCGTATTATTTATTTAAATTTAATATAATTTTAAAATTATATAATATAATATAATTAAATTTATATAAATTTTATATAATATTAAACGATAATATTGATAATATAATTTTTTATTTTTATGAAATATATGATAATTTAATTGTAACGTAAATTAATTTAAAATTAAGTAGTATGCATAACACATAATATATCTCGATAAAAATGCAAAGTTATCATACAGATTTTCTATATCCCATAATTGATGATATAATTCATTATTTTTACCAATGTCCAAGATTAGATATACAATATTTATGTACATATTTAATTATTTTTGACTCTTATATAATTAAATATTATTAGCTAAATAATTTGTTACTTATATATTAAAATAAATTAATAAATTTTCCTAATTCCAAATTAGACTTATTCAAAATATGATACAAATCGATAAGATAATCTTTTTTAAGAAAATCTATATAAACATATGATTCCATTAATATCATAAATTAATAATTACCATAAAATAATTTTATATAAATATATAACTATGATAATTTACTAAATATAAATATATAATGATTTATTTTTCTTAAAAATTGAAATAATTTTATACAATTTAAAAGTAAAATATTTAAAGATATCATTAACTTTTAAACAAATATAATTTTAATTAATTATTAATAAATAAATTATTTAATTCCAAAACGATAAATTTATAATTCTTTAAATTAATAAAATATTGAAATCATAATATTATCAATTTATAAAAAAATTACAGTAATTAAATTGATTGATTTAAAACCGACAAACTAAAAAAAAATATGAACAAATTTTGCTGAAAATTTGATACTGTATATGATAAATCAAACATTAATTAAAAAAATAAACAATTAATATTAGTATTATCTTACCACAAAAAAGTAAGCAATAATGCTATATAACATATTTGTCATCTATCATATATAAATTAAACCATAATGCAATATATCATATTTCTTTATTTAATAAATTCGAATATTAATAATATATATCATAATAATTTTGGAAATTCATCATTATGACTTTTTTTAATTGATGCTTGTGACAAAAAATAACATATATTTTTAATAATATATTTTGTATATATTATTATGAATTTTTAAAAGATATAAACTTAAAAATATTTAGCTTGAAGTATTATATATTTTTCACAATTACTTTCATGTATGCTATAATTACAACAATATATGAATAAAATTATTATGGCTTTCTTTTATTTGTTCTGATAGATTTTTGAGAAAATAAAATATTATTTTAATTATACTGTTGTATTTATAAGAATATTTTAATAAACAATTAACAAACATATTTTTTAATAAAAGTAGTAAACATTAGTAAAGTGTTATATATTTTGTTATGAATTTGAGGAAAACAGAATATTATTTTTAAATTTTCAATTGTTTTTATAAGAATATTTTTATACGAATTATCAATAAATATATTTTTTAAAAGTAGTAAGCATTCAAATTATTATATATTTTGTTGTGAATGAAAAAAATAGTAAACATTGAAAATATTATATATTTTATTATGAATTTATAATAAAATATATATGGATAATATTTTAAAAATATTATATGATAAATTTCGTGTATATTATAAATAGCACTAAATAAATTTTATTTTATTAAATTATTAATTCTAATTTTATTGTGTTTGAATTCTTTTAAAAAAATAACACATAACATATTTATGGACCTAAAATATACAATGACATATCATGTTAATTAGTCTAGTAATTTAAGTCTTTTTTTAAATTAGCTGAAAATGAATGTGGGGTTGACACATCAGCATAATGGCACCACTGTAAATATTTACAAAAATAAGGTTATTCTTTAAAAATACTTCTTTTTTTAATATATAGGGGATATCATTTTTGTAAAATAATAGAGAAAATTATAGTAGAAACTACTTTAGCAGAGTTTAATATAAGAAAATCATTAATGGAAATTAAGGGCTTGATTGGTAAGTGCTGTAGAATCTGTACACAACCATAATTTATTTAAAGCACTAAATTTTTTCCAATCATACTTTACACAGATTTTTTAAAGCTACAGAGCTTTCTTTCCTTTTTCAATTTTTTGGTTGTAGAAAGCAAAATATGTAAAGGAAAAAATTTGGACTTTGAAAAATTAATAATCCTACAGCACTAAAATCTACAGAATTAAAATCTACAGTCAAAGCAAAAAACTTATAGATTTATTTCTACAGCAAAAAATAAAAGCTACAGCATTAACCAATCAAGCCCTAAGTCATTTTATGTTTTGAAAAAACCGAAATAATCTTATATTTGTTTCACCATTTTCTTTTACAACTTTTTGAAAAAACAAAAATTGTTTGGTAATCGCAGTAACAAAACAAAACTTTTAGTTTGACATTTTTTTTCCTGAAGAACACAATTTTCTATTTTCGTTTCTTTTTTCTAGATCGCAAAAAGCTGAAGAACACAATTTCCCATTTTCGTTTCTCTCTTCTATATCATTTTAAAACAGATAAATTGACAGAAAATATCAAAAATGTGAAGATATCCTCCTCATTTCGGTGAACTGCTGTGTATAGAGAATATTGTGTTCTCCTTCTTTAGATCTGGTCCTCTTCTTCAAATCTGGTCAATAGTTCATTATCCAGGATTCATTGTCCACAGTTGATTATCAAGAAATTATATAAATCGTGACTTTTATCATTGGTATAGATTCTTTTTTCCTTCTAATGTTATCGATTTGTTCAGTCCATTCTCTTACATATTTATCCACGTTGTTTACCACATCCATATCCGCATTCACCATAAGACCTTGTTTCCACAATGTTAGTTTTTAAGTTTGATGGAAGAATTGGGGATAAGTGAGTGTGGACAAGCATTTGTTTGTAAGTAGGGAATGAAAAGTTTTCACGGACACTCAACATTTGTAAAGGATGACTAGCATGAACACAAATATACAGCTAACAAGTGGTGGATACAGTGGTATTGATACAACCACCCATTGATTTGAACACATGGTTAAATACATAAGGACTGTAGACACAATAGCATGGACATGAGTTGTGGACAATCAGTAGTGAAAGTTTACATTCCATAGCAACTAGTATGGACACTACTACTATTTAAAAATAAAATAGATAACTAGTATGGACACAAATACATGGATAATTAACCAGTGGACACAATTGTATGGACATAAAATTGATACAATCGCACAAAAATTTGCGCATATGGTTAAGTTCACAAAGATGGTGGACACACTCGTCTGGACATGAGTTGTGGACAATAAACATTAATAACAATTTCTCATTAAGAATAATTTTGGTATATAAGTGACGAAACAATTTTAAAATGACTCAATACTATAAAGTGACTTAATTTGAAACTAGATTTGCTAAAGTGACTTTTTAAGTAACCACTCTAAATAATACCCCTTTTGAATCTGAAAGACACTTCTAAAATATACAAAATTGGGATAAGATCTGCGTGTTGCACGGATTTGTGATATATTGACTATTTTAATTTTTTAAATTTATTTCATTATATTTGTTAGTAAAAGTTTGTTGGTAAATATTAGTTTCTATGTTGTAAATACCATTTAAATTTTGTATTAAAGGGTTGGTGAAATAATAGTATTCGGTTTAACTCTGTCGGGATGTGAAATTGCCATAATGGATTACCGAAAAGAAGTAGTGAGCCATTAATGTAAAAATATTCCATGAAATGAAATAGAACATGATTTTCAGTTTGATTGGCCACAAAGAAAATTTGAAGAAATAAATATGTTTTTCCGGCAGAAACAATGACACATTTAGCTTTTAAAAGTTAAAAAAAGAAAAGAAATATGAGACATAATGAAAGAGAATTTAGTAGAAAAAAAAATATGGAAACATTATTTTTGTATTTGTTCGATAAAAAAAATATAAAAAAATAGGAAAACAAAAAAGGTGACAATTCACAATTTTTTTGATTGATGGTTATAGTGAATTCGTGTTTGTCAGTGGATTTATAATTCTTTTTTATATATTTTTCGGTATCTTTGAATATGTGATCCATCCACATTTGATTAGCGACAACTGATTTGCAGTTAAAAACTTGCTAAATTTGTCTATTAATTCTCTAATTTCGGCAACATTTGGTTCCCCCCTCCCCCTCCCCCCTCGTGTGGAATCTAGGTGCTGGAATCTAAACTAGTAATTCATAAGAAAGTTCAAGTCTGTTAAGATGTTCGCCAATACCATAGTTCGTCTTAGATAGAATCGAGATTCCAAAATACTCTCAAGTGGGTGTTAAAATTAATCCG